ATTGATTTGAATCTGAATTTGAACTAGATGTTGGATATCCAAATCTTATACGATCCGATTTAATTTAAAAATAATAAATTATTAAAAGGATAAGAAAATATAATAGTTGAAATAAGGAAAAACAAAAAATATAAGTATTTTTCAACTATTTTCATCTTATTAGAAGTTTACAAAAATGTAATATAAATAACATATTTATAAATAAATAATAAATAACATATATGTTATATATATATATTATATAATTGATTTGATCGCAATATTAAAAGCCAATATTCAAACAATATATTGGATATGCATTTCCTCTTGGTAAATAAGTAATTTTTATGATCTCATAAATTAAATAGTAAAAAATATAAATATAAATTTTTTTATAAATTTTATAGAAAAATTTGAACATGCATTAATATTATATATTCTTCATACTAAACAAAAATATGTTTGAAAAATAAGAATTATTGTTAGTAACATTTTCCTGGTTGAATGGGTTAATGGTTCAACCAATAAGGTCATTTGGTTGCTAACTATTATCATCATCATCATTTGATATTGCCACGTACAACATGCGTACACTTTTTGAAGGGATGGGACTTCCATCATATGGATGGCCGAACCTCGCAGGAAGGTTGGGTGAAATTTTTAAAAAATTCTTTACTCCCATTTAGGAATCGCATTCCCAATTTAGAAAACTGCATTTTCAAGGTTCGTTCTTGTAACCAAAGTGGACCAAACCTAAAACCAAGATTAGGAAGGGATATACCTGATATGGAGTCCACGCAAAAAGCTCCTCCCAGCGTAGGTGTTCACACCCAAAGATTGTACCATATCTTCCCTCCACTAAAGATGACGCAGCTTAGGATGATGCAAGATCAGCAGGTGGTTCTTCACCAAGAACCTTTGATTTTTCAGCAAGAATCGAATGGGGTAGTGAGCACAACTTTAGAATTATTTCTTCTAGCAAGAAACAATATCAAGATCAAATCTTGATCAGTTCCAAGAATTGGAGATCGAACAGGGTACGACGGCAAAAGCAGGGAGAAAAAAAACTGAAGGCAAAAATCAGTCAAACTGAGTTGTCTTCTGTGTTGTATGTGTGTCTTTTTCAGGTCCGCCCTACTCTCTATTTATAGTCTTAAAGAGATGACCTCCTAATCTGATTAGGAGTCTCTTGATCCAAATCTTTATTTGGATCTGAACTCTTTAAATGATAAGGATAATCCCTTATCTCATCTACAGATAAAGATAAACTATTCCTAATCAAATTAGGAGTTCCTTGATCCAAATCTCTATTTGGACCTAGACTCTTTAAGTGGATAAGAGTATAACTCTTATCCTTATCTTCTGATCCATACCCAGATTCACCCCTATTTAATTAATCCAATTAGCCCAATTCAAAATGGGTTTTAGGCCCATTAAGCTTTCAGGCTCACTTCCTTATAATGCTGGCTAGCTTGGCTATCTTTGTATGGCATGGGACCCTATCATCGATCTACACATCAGCCACATGGGTTCAACCTAGCTTTTGTTACAAAGCCTAGCCAAATTCACTGCTGAATACAGTGAACCCTTGAGTCCATCAGCATGGGCTCTTAATGGGCCCAACATTTACACTAAATGGTCATTGGGTCTAGCCATCTTATGAAGGCCCAAGGACTGTGTGCAGATGCAAGATTATCCCATCAGGTATAACCCTCAATGGTCTTACACTTAACCTCTCAGTCCATAATGATCAAAGACTACCCGACAAGAGAGGACCTCTCCATCGACTGCAAGGTACAGTGTTTCACTCTCTACTCACATGGATCCTGGGAATTAAAACCTTTTGCAAACATTTTGAAATCATAATATATATGTATATCTCTCTATATATATTTTGCAAAAACAAATTTTAACTTTTGAAATCAACTACCGATAGTTTAGGTTTCCATTAGAGAGAGTGCATCCCCAATTATTCACTTTGTCTGACAAAGGGGCTGATCCTGTTACTATGATTATCCATTCAGGTGAATTCTCAGATTGTCACAACATACCCAGATTGTCACAACATATCTAGGGGTTAGGTGTAACATTCCAGTTTTGCCCATCTATCTTCAAGGTCCAAGGCAATACTGGAATTTGGTCCGATTTAAGGTTTCAAGAAAACCCACACTGCATGTATCTCAGGTCTCACCCTGTTAGTTGAGACAAACCACCTCAACCAACTTGGTGGTACATCAGTATCAGCCTTGGCAGGATAAATCTCCCCATATCTATCCAATGGCTATGAAGATTCTAAACTAACATGAGTCTCATATGTGTCTAATTTAAGGTTATTACACAGAAATATACCACAATAACATGAATCAAATATGTACTTTATTCATTTACAATAAATGTCATAATGTACATCATGCTAATTGGAGCTAAGGGTATACACTGTCTAACACTTTTACTAGTATATAGTTAGACCCAAAACTTAAATGGGATACCATAAGCAATCTGACGTGTATGATCATTGAATCATTCAAGTAGTGAAGTCATGAGCATTAGTTGTGGCCTCTTAATGGATGCTTTACTACTCAAGTAATAAGTCATTCAGAAACTTTATCTGTTACCCCTAGTATAAATTTTGTGAAATTTTGAAAAAAATTAACATAAAAATGGAAAATTGATATGATTTTACATTATGTAATAGAATATAGCTAGCTACAATGCGGATCTATAGATGACCTACCATGTCCATAGATAAATTAAAATTTGTTTTTTTTTTGTAATATTCAAAAATAAACATAAATACAAATAATTATTTTATTACGAAAAAATTGCAAATTTTATACCTACATATGATTTTTCTCTTAGGAATTTGGATGTTTCAATCATTTCCTCTTAATCTCTTATAAATAGATATATCAATTTTTCCCAAGAATTTGTAGAAAAAGAAAATTTTATATGTCAATTTATAAATTTGTAGTGATTTTTCATGTATTGAATTTATAGTAGATTTGAGGTTTAGAGTTGAGAAATTGATATACAATTTTAATGAACAATTTGTTAATTTATAGGTAGGTATATTGTCATATATAGCCATACCCCATCCGATGATCCTAATTGGTAATTGAGCTTAGGGGCTTTCAATCATTTGATTATGGTTAACTCAAAATCCTAACTTTGATTTGAATATTCCCTTGGGCTACACTAAGTTGAACTTTGAAGGAAGCAGCGAAGGAAACCCGGGTCCTTCAGGTTTAGGTGGAGCCATCAGGGGTGAAGAAGGTCAGATTATTGCAATGTATTCGGGGCCTATTGGTTGGGGGGATTCTCTGAGGGCTGAAATATTGGAAGTGTTGGAAGGAATTAAAATAGCACGGTAGCTGAATATCAAAATACTAGTTATTAGGTGGCTGCAAAAGGAAAACTTCAGTTTGTGGAAATACTTAAATGAGAAAAAGAAAATTAAATATTTGACTAAAAATATGGAAGTTCAGTTTCAATGGACTAAAAGGTGTGCTAATTCCTGGCAGATTCTTTGGCTAAGCAAGGAGTGGGAAGAGCTTTTCTTTTCTGTCCAGCTTTGTAATATGAAGTACACTTTTATTGTAATATGAAGTACACTTTTAGGGAGGGTTAAGAGATTTTACGCCTCCCTCCCATTGTATCCTCCTTTTCAATCTTTCTATTAATAAAAGTTTTCTGTTATCTATCAAAAAAAAGAAAAAATTTTGATTTGAATACTCCCAAATGGGAGGGAGGTTTAAGCATTGTATCCTCCCATTGTATCCCATTGTATCCTCCTTTTCAAGTAGTCATACTGAATTTGTTTAGGTTTAAGCATTTATATACAAGATAATGCTATAATGAGCACTGATCAATAATGGTTATACATTTTGGGGTACAAGAAAAATGTTCAAAGTATCCATACAGTAGATACTACTTAAAACTTTTAATAACGAGGGGTGGAGCTAGAGGGGGGCCAAAACCTAGAAAACATGGATAGGGGGTACTAAAAGCTAAGAAATATGGGTAAAGGGGTCAAAATATAAGTGAAATTTAAATGGGTTTTGTGGGAATTTTGAAGGCATAGGGGGGCCATGGCTCCATCACCCCTGTTAATAACACCTTGTAACTCTAACTATTGGACTTATTGGTGACGTTGGAAATTGAGAGGTTGGATTGGCTGAACTTAATAAGAGTTTTATGGGCCATGGAACTAATCATTTTGCTCCATGTCAACAATAAATGCAAGTGAGAGATTGAGCAGACCAAATTGATGCTCCATGTGCACATCTCACCATGCGTTGGGAACATCTCGTGTAATGATCATGGAGAGATGTTCGCAAAACATGGGTGGGGTGGGGATGCTGTGAGGCACTCTTTGTAGGGAATCTTGAGGTTGGGTAGTGGTTATGGGACATATATACTTTATGGCTAATGTCCATTCTCAAAAATTGACATACATACATACATACATACATACATACATACATCTATACTACTTTAAAAACTACAAAAAGCCTCCAAGAATATTTCTAGAATTTTTTGAGGACAAAATTTACCCCTCTATGTTTAAATTTATTGATAAAAAATGAGGGCAAATAGGGTAATTAATTATTGATATTAAATAGTTGAAAAGAGGTAATTGTAAGATATTCAATGCATTCAATTCTCTCACATTAAATCCAACATTTAAAGTATTAATTTGCATTCACCTTCACTGAATCATATATTTAAGGTTTTTTTTGTTTCTTCTCATCATTAAATTCTATAATTAAATCCATTCATAATAAATTAATAATTTCAATAACATAAAAAACTTATACTTTTAAAATCTTCCTAGAAAAAATAGTATTTTCATCTGGTGGTGGTATGAAATTAAATCATTTGGGCCAAATGAGTCAATCCATGTTGTCACAATTAAATAATAAAATTCCAAAATATATAGAACGCAAAAAATATAGAAATTTAAAAAATTTGGGAACATTTTTAACACCATATATTTGAAATATTAAACAATAATAAGTTTGATAAACAATGTTTTAAAAACCAATCCGGAGGCCGACCCATTTTTTCCTTCGGGTCATAGGTCACTAGTGTATTTATCTATATATTGATAAAAACCAAAAGCCGATGAGGGAGACTCGTGCGCTAACCAGTCCGCTGCTTGATTTGCTTTGCAGGTGATCCTTCATATAATTCATTGTGATTGAAGGGATATAAAACTTCATGGGACATGCACACTAACTACAGCCATTACAGATCCATTTCTTGTGCTTCTTATTAAGCAATGTTGGCGCACTAACTCCATGAAGGGTGATATCAAAGGCGACCACAATCATAACGAGTATGCCCAAGTGAGTTGCCGAAGAGAACAAATAGGAGAATGAGAAGTGAAAACCTGATTAGCGGTACTGATGTCCGAAGCAGCAACCCTGTAAGATAAGTCTGTGTAGACAACCTCACAATTCTCATCTTTCTCTCTCTAATATACCGATCGAGCGCTGCCTCTAGTACACTGGTCTCTGGCATAAGCTTTCTTCGTTGTTGGCATCCTTCTACACCCACAACAGAAGAAATTTCTTTTACCAGGCATCTAGCAAGTACAATTGCATCCTCCAGGCCAGCCGAACCACCCTGCCCCAAGAATGGACCCATTACGTGCATGGCATCTCCAGCCACTGTAACTCTTCCTTTTCTAAAGCTACCTAGCAAGACGTCCCATGGAGTGCGGTACCTCAGGCGAACAAGACTCACTGAGTCGATATCACTATTCTTTACCAATTCTACCATCTCTGATGGAAAAGCTTTGATTGACTGCACTGCAGACTCTTTAACGAGCTTAGGGTCTTTGGAAATCCTTGAATCTGTTGTTTATGTACATCCAAGGAGATAAGAAATGGTGAGAATTAATTTATAATAATTAATCAATGCCTCAAGAATAATTACCAACAAATTTTGGACTAAAGTTTAGAGTAATTATATTGGTTGTGCAACTGATGGTATCATATACAAGAACTCCCTTCAGCCTTCAACAAGAGGAAGAAAACAAAAGAAAAATATTGCTAAATGGTCGTTTGAATAGTGTGTATATCTTTGGCTGTGCAACTGATGCCTCTGCCCTTCAATCCTCATCATCTTAGCATAAAAATGTCATTTTAGAGTCTCAAATAACCATTCAACTTCAAAGCTTAAGCTGTTAAGTGAGGTCCTTGAATATGTTTTATTCTCTAACATGCCCCCCTTACATGAAAGTCCATTGGGTTTGAAGCATGCACAGCATAGGCCCACCCCTACCTTGTGCTGAAACTTAATTAATTAATTATAATGGGGGTGACGAGAATCAAATACTAGACCTTGGTCAAAGTGGCTATGATATACCATCTCAGAGAACCATTCAACCTAAAAGCTTAGGCTGTCAAGTGAGGTCCTTGAATAGATTTTATTCTCTAACATAGAGAAGGGAATAAAATTTATAAATCATCACAGTTTAAAGCCTGAAGTTGGTTGCATGAATCTTGTTTAACCATTCTCCCGGTTGAATAAACTATACAAATAATGAATGATAAACAAATAAAAGCCCAAATAGTAGGATTGAATAGATAGTGTAATAAAATATAAAATAATTGATTCAGTTATGTGGGTTTCAAACCAGGTTGGGGAGGAAATCAAAATTTTTGGTGTAAATTAAGGGTTTTTTTGCCAACCCAACCGGATCTAATACATCAGGAACATCTCCCCGTAAATGGTAACATGTAAATATGAGAGATGTTCTTAATGTGCCACTGTTTATAGTGTTTTGTGGATAGAGTTCTTATGGGTAGGAGATCTGAAGACCTTTCTTGCAAAGTTAGGGTCTCCAATAAGAATACACCTTCAATTATGTAGATGCAGACCATTCGCTACTCAAGATTCAAAGAATAAATGAGAAGTAGGAGTGTAGCTTGTGTCACCTTCAGGAGTCCATTGTCGGCCAATAAACCAACAAACAAGTTTGTCATCAACTGGAATTCTTCCTTGAAGGATGCCCTCTCTATTTGTCCGAATGAATTCATTGTTAAGTCCATGACCTGTGGGATGATTGGTGAAACCTCTTATTGCGCAATAAGAGAAGAGTTTCGTAGCTTTTAGACCCAGAAATTCGGCAACCACAGAATTTGCTCCATCACTTCCGATCACAACCTGTAATTCATCCGTGAATTACACGAAACAATGTGATTAGAGAGGTTTTCGCTTTTCAATCTGGTCTGACCACAAATGTTGCCAAGGTTATATAAGTTTGGTTTGAAGGAAAAAGTAGGGAAAGGAAGGGAAATGCAGGAAAACCTATATAAGATTTGTAAAGGTTTCATTTCCTTTCCTTTCCCTACTTTTTTTCCTTCAAACCAAACATAGGGTAAAGAAACAACAATTTCATGTACATCTGATATGAATTATCCATATAGTTATTATCATAATTTGGTTTACTTGGTTCAATATCCAGATCAAGCCAACAATAAGGATCTGGTCCACTAATATTTTAAGATATCAACATGGTCCAGATTAGATCAGGTTGTGAATTTGTTGGGTGTACCCAACCAAACTGATTATGCCAATTCTGGTTGTATGGCGTGTATCCCAATTAATGATGGTTCGCGACTGGTTCTTGCTATTCTAAATCGATTGTGTAGTTAATAATATATAAAATTTCATCGCTTTCTTATAATGTTTAATTATAATAGTCTGAAGAGTAAATTTCATATACAATTATATAAGATAGTTTTGATTAAAAACACTTGTTTTATTTACATGTAAACAGTTTGCTATTTACTATCATTTATATTCTTATATAAGTTGCATTATCAAAAATGAGGTTCTAACTTATTATAATAGGTAATTATAGATGCCAAATACAATCTGGTGGCAATGGGCAGGTTTGGGTTGGATTTTAACCCAACCTGCCTGACCTGTCAACCCGTTAATGGTCCTTTTATATAAATTTAAATAGGTTGGGTGCAACTCAAACCCGCCCTTAATCCAGTTCAACCCGCCCAACCCATTAGTCTTTTATCATTAATTAATAAGACATACACAAATAATAGAAAAATATAACATAAACTATAATAAAATACAAAAATTATAAAAAAAAACATAGAAAATGCATAAGAAAAACATAAATTACCTTGGCCTTGATGAAGGTTCCATCGTAAAGTTGTAGAACCGGATCGGAAGATAGAGGGTCCAATTTGACAGCAACGATCTGGCATCCAAATCGTATGGTTTCAGGTGGCAAGTTTTCAGCTAGGATTTCCACAAGGTCACTCCTTTTCACGCATCTAAGCTCTTCCTTCCTGCAATAGTAAAGAAAAATTTTCATTGCAGAGAGTTCATTCAAAGATCACTGAAATTTTAATATCATGCAGATTATTCTCTATATAACTATTGTTTTTCTTTTTTTATTGTATAGTTGCAAGTTATAATGTTTGATTAAGGTTGTGATTGGTCCGAGGGAAGATTTTGGTGGGATGAAAAGGGATAGCATGCGATGAGGCCGGATCTGCTCCTCACACAAGGCGCTTCACACCGACCCTCACACACACACACACACATCCTATCGTGCATTGGAAACATCTCCCATACTTATTATTCATGGGAGATGTTCCCAATGCATGGTGGATGTGCCTGCGAGGCGCCCATTTGTGAGGAACAGATCCCATTCTGCATGGGATGGGATGAGAAAGGGAAATGGATGGAAATTTTTTTATGTTCCATTGTTTGGTTGCAAAAAGGGAAATAGTGGTAAAATCAGTGACAATAACAATAAATAATTAATTAATTAAGTAATTAGTAATATTTTTAATTTAATTATTAATTAATTTTATAATTAATAAGTTAATTAAGTATTAATGAAGAATTAATATTTTAATTTTAGTTAATATTTTATTTATAATAATATTTATTATGAATTAATTAATAACTTTATTTTATATTATTAATTATTTTTAGTTAATTAACAGTATTATAGTTTATTATTTAACTAAATTAATAATAAAGTAATTATTTAATTTATTCACTAATCACATACATATATACTGACTTAATTATTAACTACTTTTTGTTAATTTGTAAAGAATTCTTACTTAATTATTATTATTTATTATATACTAATTTATTACTAATTATTTATTAATTACTTTTAATTAAAATTATTTTATTAATATTCTATTGGATAATTTATAATTCATTAATGGATCATGGTTCATGCTTCATGGGTCTAATATTAAATCTTAAAATTACTAAAAGGAAGATGTCTTTTCTATTAAACAAGTTTCTCCCTTTATTCTCATTAATTTCCTACTAAAATGGTGGGATTCCACATCTCAAGAATTGAGAATTATAATTCCACTTTTTTTCTCATCCCATCTCATGACATCTACAAGCCAAACATGGGAAAGAAAGAATATTTGAGAATATTCTTTTTTTTTTCAAATCCCATCCCATAAAGATGTAATGAATATTTGAATAAATATGTATTTGTGTGTTTTAAATATGGTAAGATACAATGAAATGAATATATTTCTTTTTATATTAATGGGAAAAGGCTTAATACTCCTTTTTAAATAATATAGGCTTAGTTTGGAAGGAGTACAAATACAAATATGTACAATGCAAATATGTACAAAATAATACAAAATACATGGATTTGCGCTCTACATATATATTTGTATTTGTACTCCTTCCAAACTGAACCATAAGAACAAATAAACATCATCCATTCGAAAACTCACCCTATTGGCGTTTCCCGTTGCCGATTGTTGTCCACCAAAATCTCCCGCACCCTGGATAATAATAATTTCTTAATATCTAACAAACATATTTATATTTTTAAACTGAAAAAATAGAAATACAGCATTTTAGGTTCAGTTTGGGAAGAGTGTAAATACAATTAAATATGTTCACTGCAAAACCTTGTATACTGTATTTCTGAACCTTGTATTTGCACTCATCCCATATTGAGCCTAGGTACATCATAACTTGAGTGCTCATCAAAACACATGTGGCCTTCAAGAAAAATACGCAAGGTGCAATGATTTCATAAGTTTGTTTGCAGTGCAAATGAGATGTAAATGCATAGGAGTGCAAATGGGTTGACTGTAAATCCTGGTTTATTTTTGTTTAAGATTTGACTTTATTTGTGTAAGTAAAATAGGAAGTATGATGCAGTCCCCACTTTATATGTAAGAGAATGGAGGCTTGTGGAAGGGTTTTTTGGAGAGGATCGAAATAGGATACAAATTGATGTAGTTCCCATTTTATATGGGAAAGAAGGAAAGTGATGCAAATTTTACATCAGTTTTTTAGATACAAAATTTACATTGCCAACTGATACAAATAAGACAAAAGTGCAAATTTTGCATCAAGTAGGAATGCAACCTATTAGGCTGTGTTTGGTTGCAGTGCAAATGTATTTTCACTAGTACAAATGCATGGGAGTGCAAATGTAAAAAATGCAAAATCTTGTTTAATTTTGTTTTGGATTTTACTTTGTTCTGCTTCATATCTTAATTTACTTCATTTGTACTGCAATCAAACAAAATAAGCTAAAAATTGAAACAAAAATAAGACAAAATTTTACACTCAAATCATTTGCACTGCCATGGTTTTGCATCAATTTTTTTTTTCTTTTTTTCATTTTTTTTGCATTGCAACCAAACAGAGCCATAGTTACAAATAAAGGGATGAAAAACTGAACCTAATGCGAAATTTGTATCTCATATCAGGTTCAAATTCCCATTGCAAACAAATGGAGCCTTAGGGCGAGGTGTAGAATGAGGCTGAGAGTTTAATGAGCATCCCAAAAAGAATACTTTAGTAAAAAGAATTTAATGAGCATCCTAAAGAATGCTTTAGGGAGCATCCTCCTTAAGGTTATGTTTGGTTTGAAGGAGAAAATAGGGAAAGGAAAGGAAAGGTAGAGAAATGTATACAAGATTCGTGAAGGTTTCCCTACCTTTCATTTTCTTTCCCTACTTTTTCCTTCAAACCAAACATAGCAAAAATGAACAAAAAGAATCTTGTTTGAAGTTGGTGGGTACTAGTCCCTTGTTCTGATTAACAAAGCTAAAAAACGAAGAAGAAAAATTAGGTTGGTTTTTAGGAAATTCCCTACTTTATTTGAATTTTAATTAAATGTAGACGGGGCTAACCACACTGACCCAGGAGCAAGTGGTAGCGGGGTTATAATTAGAAAGGCTGATGGGCGGTTCTTGTTTGATTTTTCAAACTTTTATGGCTATGCTACCTCATTTCAAGCATAATTCCTTTCTCTTTTTGCATGGTCTTCAGCTTTGCTGCAATAATGATATATTCTCAGTTGAGGTGGGAACTGGAAAGTGACAATTCAAACCTAATTGAAATAATAATGAATTAAAAACCTTTCTCCTCCTTGGTAGATTTTCTATACAATGAAGACAATTAAAACAATGCCTACTGGTATGAATACTGTTTTCATCCATACTGTAAATGAGGAGAACCATTGTTCTGACCATCTTGCTAATATGTAGGTATTGATGAAAACAACTTGGTCTTATTGGATGGTTACACTCACCTTCCTCATGCTTTCAATACTCTGTTTCGAGAGGATTATATCAATGTTCTTGTATTGTATTTGGATTAGTGGTTGTATTTTCCTTTTTGGTGGGTTTGGGCCGAGTTTGTGATGGAGAGATATATTTTTTTTTGGTTTGGGGCAAGGTGGGTTAAGTCCTCCCCTGTTTTTTTAATAGTTCTTTTGATAATGGTTAACATAATACAAAATTCAAGGTTTTGCACTGTATATATTTGTATTTATATTCCTTCCAAACTGAGCCTAAAAAAAAACAAAAAAAAAACATGTTATATTGTAAAAAATCGGTTTACAGCTTAAAAGATCCTTAAGTCCCTCCCAAGGATGTTGGGATTTGGGACTTCTTTTTTTTTTTTTACATTTCCTGGGGTGATTTCTTGCACCTCTGTGGTATTTTTCTTCTTTTCTTCCTTCATAAATTTTCTTTTTACCTAAAAAAAATCTTGAGTCCCTCTCCCACCTTATAATTATATAAAATATTTAAAGGCATTTATTTATTGCCTCTACATATCATTTTTCTGATTTGAACTGGCTAACTATCTAGTTGACCAGTAAAACCATGGACCAATAACCATTCTAGTTTTTAAGTCCAGTTTGAGTCTTGCAACATTGTTAATAAATAGAATTGAATGGGGGTGTAAGTCGGGTTCCTGATTTAAAGAATTTACATTGCATTGGATCTGCCTTCTTGACCTGGCCCATTCAAATTTTGTCAAAATCCTAACTTGAGCCTACTCAAGTTGCAATCCTAGTCTTGAATACATTTCGAAGCAGGAAAGTACTTAAACTAGGGATTCATATAACTTGATGTACCCTGGTTGACTCCAACCATCCTCAACCAAGCCTAGGGTTTGCAATTCGTGAATCCATTTTAATCTCAACTCACTGTAGGGTTGGCACTGTTGGAAGGGTTAGGATCCATCATATGGATGCCCGAACCATTCTAGATGTCTAGACAGAATTTCAAAAGTTTCCTAATCCTTTAGGTATCAAATTCCCTATGTTTTGAAAAACTACATTTTTCATGATCGGTTTTGCACTGAATCGGACCAGATTTGAAACCAATCAAAGAGGGAGATTTATACCTGATACGGATACTACAAATGCAGATCTCAAGGTGGAAGTTCACGCTCAAATTAGTCCTAAAATCAGCCTCTACTAAAGATGACGTAGTGTGTAGGTGGAGTTGATTCAACAACACACTTTTCAACAAAACTATAACCCAATTGCTTGGATCAAACTAAGGAAGGTGAGTCTGAAGTTCCTCTGAAATTTTCTTGCAAAATCAGAAGAAAACTGATCTCTATCAGTCCTTGAAAGCCTAGGTCGTGATAAGGTTTCTTGGAAGACAAAAGGAAAGAAGAGAAAACAAGAGAAGTGTTATTCTAGTCTATTTCGTCCTCTTCTTCTTTAATCTCTTTATGGAGCACTTCTCCTAATCAAATTAGGAAATTATCCAAATCTAATTTGGATTTGGAATCTATTAAGAGATAAGCTTTATCGTCTTAATAGTATGGGTGCTCCATACCCATTTTCAAACCCAGATTCGACTTAGAGCATATGACAACTTAATCTTATTAATTATGGGCATTGGGCCAATTTCTTTCAAAGGCTCACGACCCAAGATGTTGCATGACCAACTTAGACATGATTTGTATGGCATGGGACCCCACAATGACCTCACATAAGTCCACATGGGTTGGGCCCTACCTTTGTGAAAAAGGCCTGACTTAATTCCCTACTAAATGCAGTGAACCTTGAGCACACATTGCATGGGTTGGGCCCTAC